GCTATATATAGGCCTAGATACGCTATATATAGGCCTAGATATGCTATATATAGGCCTTGATACGCTATATATAGGCCTAGATATGCTATATATAGACCTATACGCTATATATAGGCCTAGATACGCTATATATAGGCCTAGATACGCTATATATAGGCCTAGATACGCTATATATAGGCTTAGATATGCTATATATAGGCCTAGATATGCTATAAATAGGCCTAGATACGCTATATATAGGCCTAGATATGCTATATATAGGCCTATACGCTATATATAGGCCTATACGCTATATATAGGCCTTTACGCTATATATAGGCCTATATGCCATATATAGGCCTAGATACGCTATATACATGTATTCCGTCTTTGCGTATTGCAGAGTTATCTTCTCTTGAGAGCAGGTATTGATTGTTACGTCATTGGTTTGTGTGAAAAAATTACGTCGTTTTCTCAAAAATTGATGACGTTACTCTCATAAACAAATGACTTAACAATCAATACCTGCTCTCAAGAGAAGATAACTCTGCAATACACAAAAACGGAATACTGCTGTTGTTTTCTTTTGATGATCATCTAGTGATTTTTGTAGAATTTTTTTTAAGTCTGCCATGTAAACATTGTAGTTGGTCGTTTCGATAACAATTAACAGTATTAAACATTAAATACATAAATATAATTTGCATTTTAAGCAATTGTTTACCGACTTGGACACTCGTTTGTGACACAAGTGTGTTTACAAAAATTGTTCGAGTGGGTGAGTGTATAACACTGGCTCTTAGGGTTATATATATATATATTGTCGGTGTTATATATATTCCGGGTCACTCCAATGTTTGTCGGCGATATATATACTCCGGGTCACTGATCCATTGTTTGTCGGCGTTATATATACCCTGGGTCACTGATCCACTGTTTGTCTGCGATATATATACTCTGGGTCACTCCATTGTTTGTCAGCGTCATATATACTCCGGGTCACTTCACTGTTTGTCAGCGATATATATACTCTGGGTCACTCCATTGTTTGTCGGCGTTATATATAATCCGGGTCACTCCACTGTTTGTCGGCAATATATATACTCTGGGTCACTCCACTGTTTGTCGGCGATATATACTCTGGGTCACTCCATTGTTTGTCGGCGTTATATATACTCCTGGTCACTCCACTGTTTGTCGGCGATATATATACTCTGGGTCACTCCATTGTTTGTCGGGGTTATATATACTCCGGGTCACTCCACTGTTTGTCGGCAATATATATACTCTGGGTCACTCCACTGTTTGTCAGCGATATATACACTCCGGGTCACTCCACTGTTTGTCGGTGATATATATACTCCAGGTCACTCCACTGTTTGTCAGCAATATATATACTCTGGGTCACTGATCCACTGTTTGTCGGCGTTATATATACTCCGGGTCACTAATCCACTGTTTGTCGGTGTTATATATATACTCCGGGTCACTCCACTGTTTGTCAGCGTTATATATACTCCGAGTCACGCCACTGTTTGTCGGCGTTATATATATACCTACATAGATACGGTACAATATTTAGGTATGATATGGTACACACTTCCTAGTACTATATTTAGGTTAAACATGGTGCACACTGTTTACCTACATAGTTAGGTAAAATTATTTATAGGTATAATACGGTACACACTTCGTAGTACTATATTTAGGTTAAACATGGTGCACACTGTTTACATACATAGTTAGGTATAATTATTTAGGTATAACACAGTACACACTTCGTAGTACTATATTTAGGTTGAACATGGTGGACACTGTTTACCTACATAGTTAGGTATAATTATTCAGGTATAATACGGTACACACTTCGTAGTACTTTATTTAGGTTAAACATGGTGCACACTGTTTACATACATAGTTAGGTATAATTATCTAGGTATATATTATACAGATACTTATGGTACACACTACATGCACTGATGAAGTACAATATTTTGGCTGTCACAAGATTACAATAAAAAGTAAGTTGGCAGATTAACAAAAGTTGCCGACTTACAGATACACATTTGTCTGTGTTAGTAGTCTAGCGGTTACTGCTGATACACAAAAACAGAGGTTTACTGCAAGTTTGCACTTTTCTCTCAAGTGTAAAATATATAATATTAAGGATTAAGCTACCTTACTGTGACAAGGATAGTGATATATGTATCTCCTTTCAGAAAGAGTTCCAATATAACAAATCTTCAAAATTTCGTTCATGAATGGTGTGGT